GTTTCTGTACTTCATATTCAAGAATCCTCCATTTCAAACATGTGTATACATATAGTACTCGAGCTGTACTATCTGAAGAAAAAAAGAAAATTGAATCTATGTCGTATAGTTTTGAAACACGAGCCAAAACAAAAAAGTGGTACAATACTTTTGAGGCGAACAGTAGTATATCCAATCAAGATCTTGTGACGTACTAGTAACAGAATACTGGAAAAAGAATTTTTTCGGAATCAATATCGGAGTTACCTCATTAAAGCAGTCAAGTCGTTTTACTCTTACATAGCGACAAATTGTTGTTTCAAATGATAAGTAATGAATAACAATATACTACTTTATAGATCTATAAATAAGTTTCTAGAGAAAAAGAACCAGAGAGATATTCTCATGAACAAGTAGTAGAAAGAAAAGTATACAGTGGTTCCAAAAATCGATGGTACAAATTTAATTTTGATTTTTGTTTTGCGTAATGGTAAATCGCATGATGAATCTAATTATCGATTTCAATAGAGAAAATTGTTTCCAACAAGGATTTGAGGGAAATGAAATCTTCACAATATTCCCGAAATCTAGGATCTCTGTAAAACTCCAAGTTTAACTTTTCAACATGCAGAACTCGAAGAAAAAGGTTTCTTTTGACTACACAAAGCAGTAGAACAACTGATTCTCGACAAAATGATACGTCTTCGAGGTCTCTACGACATGTTTTTAATGAAACCTAAATCGATATTAAGAAACACTCAAAACTAGATTTTTCACCATTTCCTAAGGGAAAACTGAATAAAACAAAAAGGATTTTTCAAGTTCTCTTAAAGTTTATGTAATTCATTCAAAAATATGTCTTGGAAAGCTCGGAGACATGTAATTTTGCAGAGATTTACTCTGTCATCTCTTGTAATTAAAAGAAGCTTTTATTTTCGTGTTGTAGATACTAAAAAACTAGATTAGGTAGCTTCTAGAGACTTTCAATACGTGGAATATTGTCAAGTTTTTATTTCCTTCAAATTCTTCTTGAAAACAATTATCTCTATTGAATATCAAAATAGAATTTTCGGAGTCGAAAAAAATTTGACTCTGCAGGGTTTTACAACTCACGTAGTACATTCACAAGGGTTGTGTCTATGTCATTCCATAATTGTTTTCAATAAGATCAATAAAAAAAGGTTTCATTTAGAAATCTTTACTTTTAAAGATTTGAATTCTCTTCTTTGTATAAAAGCATTAGTAAATGAATTAGGCCGAAAATTTGAACTTATATTTTAACAATCTATTTTAAATCTTAATTAAAATATTTATTTCCTAGATATTTTATCAGAAAAATCTCATCAAAATGAACGTGCTCAAATATCAAAACAAACTTCTCCTGATTTGGAACAAACATCTATTGAAAAAACAAATATTATTCCGAATTTATCATTACCTACGCGAAAGTAAATTTAATTACTATTTATTTTGAATTTTTTTTATTTAAATACTTTGTTTTTAGATGTGAAGTACTTTATGATTATACACCACAAAATCCAGATGAACTTGAAATTCATGTTGGAGATATAATTAATATAATTGAAATGTGTGATGATGGTTGGTTTTGTGGAATGATGGAAAAATCAAATCATGATAATAAAATGAAATTTGGAACATTTCCAGGAAATTATGTTAAATTATTATCTTAATCAAGAATGATTATACAGTGAAAATTTCTTTAACAGTGATCTTCATCGTGCTTTATCTATTTTTTCTTTTATACGTTGACGGCAATATCTATTTGTATATTTCTAGTCAATGGTTTTCTTTTTTTCTTTTTCTACAATATAAGACTATATTATCTTCATTCAGCTTTTTTTGTTGGCTTGTTTTTTTTTGTTACAGTAAAAATTGAAATTCTTAGGAGTAAATAGATGAATAAATAACTATTCATTTTAAAAAGAAGATTTGCAAAACAAGTTCAATTGTTTTTTCTTTTTGATAAATAAGTTTCTTATATGATAATTTGAACAATAATGACGAAGACAAATATGTTCAATGTAGAATCTTTAGTTGCTGAATTAACTGGTGTCGTTGTTCGACTTGAAGTTGTAGTGGGATTAGTACGAGTTACATCATTGGTCAGAGTGACTTTGATTATTGAAGAATTTTCAGTAAAAGAAGTAAAATTTGAATCGTTTGAAATTGTTTCATTAGTATCAAGAGATGTCATATCCGTCAATGGAGTCGTTTCCTCAGAAGTATATGTGATTTCATCCAGTTCTGAATTAGCTGTTGCAGTTTCGTCAACAACTGTTACAGATGATGTTATGAATAGAAACAAAATATATGTTGTCAGACAAAATTGATAGCACATTGTTATTACCTAAATAAAATTTTGAGAAACAATAAAATGATTACTATCTTAATAATTAGATGTGTTTGAAAGGATTTTAACTCATTGAATGGTTCAATTCGATGGCAATAGTCTGTGTCAAAGAGTGTTAAACTTGTTTTTTTTCGTTATTAATACAAGAGATAAAACGATGGAAACTTAAATCTTTTTTTCGACTAACTTATTTTTGAAATCAAATTTATACACATTATAATTTCACATCAAATAACAACTCGATAAGTTTTTATCAATTTTTACTGCTGAATAATTTTGAGCTTTGATTCATCAAAAGAATCTGCTTATATGTCTTTAACAGTATCGAATACGACGATTTTAGCTAACATGAGATCGATATTTGTTCGATGCATTGGTTATCAAATTTTTTGTTTTATTGATACCAAAGAAATGTATACAGATGAGAGTTTAATTAACAATTCGTATGTTACCCGTCGAATTTTTAAATTATATCACTGCACCACAAAAATTTACACAAAATCAACCATAGTATTTAACTACTTACTTCAATTGAGGTCTATTTGTAAAGCAAAACAAAAGTTTGAATATTTTCTAGGCAATAAATGACAAATATTCTGACGTTAATATAGGCACCTGACATTACAGTGACACGTTCATTTATTGTATTTAGCCGATTTTTTTTTCTCATTTTTCGCAATAATAGCAGTAAAGATTGTCTTTTTTCAGGCATTCATATATTTACCAACAAAAAAAAATAATAAGCTTGCTTTTTGCTCAATATTTTATGTGCAATTTCAGTAAATACATTATCAAAATGATTCATGAGACATCATAAATCTACTACGATATTTTTAATTTATTATGACTATTATACTATTGTTTTACAATGAAAAAAAGATATGATTTAGTCAACATGAATAAATTGAATTCTAGTTGTTTTCTTTTGCACGTACATCGATCAGAATCTTAATGGTACTGATTGACAAAAGAGCAGAAAAAAGCTTTTAACTACTTAAAAAAAAGTGAAATAAAATGTTTTTTATATTTTTAAGTATCTGAATATGTGCATACGCGTGCACAATAACATTCAAGAATAGATTAATCAAACAAATCTGAAAAATGTACACCAAGAACACCTACAGCCAATAGATTAATGATGGATAAAAATGAATCAAAGCAAACTGTTTTAACACATGTTTTTTTTCTTTCTTCAACATCTTCTATTATTCTTAAAATAGATTATATATTTTTATGGATATATTCAAAAGTTTGTCTTTCACTTATTTGAATTTTATTGATTTTTTTTCAGCGCACATTACTTAAATCTGAAAGCAGTATAAACAAAAATCTTTCGGTGACAATTTATTACGCATCATCATATATCATTATAAATGATTACGATAGTGAAAAATCCGCTAAATAGTATGTTTGAAATGAAATTTTTCTTTTTTCTCTTAATAAAAATTATTGAAATCATAGATATGGATTCATTACCAACACTTGATCCTGTACATATTGATAAGCCATTGAAATCATCATTTTCAACAGTTTCTCCTAATTTACCTGATATATTACCAACAACAATATCGCATAAACGTCAACCAAAAAAACGTGTTCGATTTGCATTAAAACTAGATCCTGTCGACGAAGAATCAGCACCACCAAGTCGAGAAATTTCATTCTCAGCAACATCACAATTAAATAAGAGAGTTATTGATCCTTGGCGACAACATCGACCACTTTATGGAGCTTATTTTGAATATTTAGAAAAACAAGATAGATTACCAAATATTGAAAATGAAATTCGCCATGTACCACCACCCGTACCACCACCACCACCTGAACCTGGTACGGCACCACCAACATATACACATACATTTATTATACAAAGTAAATCACCAGATCTCGTTATTGATTCAATTACAATATCGACACCACCACATAATTTACCTCGTATTATTCATCGAAACAAAAAACCTGTAGAACAACAATTGTCATCAATCGATACTTTGTTTAAACAACCACTAAAAATATCAACTCCACCACGTATGACACATACAAGAAAAGAAACAAATATATCTAATCAAAAAAATCATGATACATTAGTAAATACGGCTTTAAAACGAGTTGAAGTAAATACACCCTCAACGAATGGATTACAACCAAATAATAAACTTATTCGACGAGATAATTTATTTACATCAAAATATATTAATGATCACGTTCAAACTAAAAAAATAACTGAACCTTCTACAAAATCATTATCAGGTGCAAATAATCAAGTATATCATTTTCCTGAACGTCCTATTTTACCAAATTATTCAAGAAACCCAGCAATGCCAAATCATACTCATCGTACATATGAAAAATCAAATATGAAAACATGCCACTTTTATGAAAATCGTGATAATGATTATCTTTTTCAACCAATTATTCATTCAACTCATTGACTATTACATATTTTTTTATGCATATAGACGAGAAAGAAAAAAATATCTTTCTGCAAGACAACATATTTTTTTTATCCCAGTAATGATATCTTTTCGTTTTGATTTATTTAGACAAACTGTTTGCATTTATTTTTTTAATATTATCATAAACTGAATGAAATAATTTTCCTAAAAAGTTTTCTTTTTCAATAATCATATCATTTCCTTTTATATCAGTTATTATTCCATTAGATACAGACATTTCGATTGTTTGTTTCTTATGTTCAATTGAATAAATAAATGGTGGAGTTGCTTGATAGACAAATTTCTCTGACTTAAGTTCATTTTCAATATCTTTCATTTGTTCATAATGTAATAATGGATCAATATAATCATAATTAGAAGTATTTTTCTCATTGTTCCATTCAAAAAATTGTTTTATTAATAATTCAATAGTTTTGTCATACGTTATTGAATTATTTCGATCTGATAAATTTAATACAGATGATCGTACACTTGCTGTTGCTTTACTTGTTATATTCATTTGATCATCGGATTTTAAGGATCGTCTTAAATCATTTAAATAAGCATTTATAAGTAGAGTAAAATGATGATATGCATATAAACGTTCAAGACGTGACGCGCTACCAGTTACTTTATATGTATCAAGAAATATATCATCACGATCAGTTACATATAATGTTAAATTGAATGCTTTATTTAATGTTTCAACAATCCAATGAAGGTTTTTTTTACGATTATAATCTTCACGTGCTGTTAAAATTGTTACATTTAAATTTCCTAGAGAATAATTTGGTTATTAAATTAGTACGTTGTAAGAGAGAGAGAGAGGGGCTTCTTCACCTACCAAGATCATGATAACATGTTCCTATTGAATGAAATAAAATATGATTTTTGAAAGTCAATCTAATGAATATTTACCACCACCTGAATAACGTCTTGCTAAATCAATTTGTTTTTCAGCTAAATATTTAATATCACACTCAATAAAAGGATTTTGATATCGACCGATAACAATACATGGTTTATTACGCCAAAGTAATAGAAGTCGCGTTTTTGGTTGATGTTTAATATTTTCAGCTAAATAACGCTCCAGTGCTAAATTAGTGTAAACATTCGTTGATCTTGATATAAGAACACGATTACCACTGCGTAGAATTGATGGCATTTTGTGGAAAAACCAAAAAAGAATAAATATCTCTATACCAGGGAAGCTAGCCGAACCGGATCATCTAGCCGGAAGAAAGTAGCGATTCCATTGGATCATGTGTTCACCAATAGATATCGTAAAATTCATAAACCACCACTAAAGAGGAACACAATAAAAAAGATTTTGGAAATGGTTGTGTTAGAAACAATAATATGAAAGCAATATAATGCGTGCAATAATTATAATTTTAATAACTGAGTTTTAATATTCTAGCTTAATATGTTGATCTTTTCTTATCAAGAAAAAATACCAAACAACAATTAGTCTCAATTCAATGCAACTCATCACTTGAATTGAATAGGATTTTCTGCAATGAAGTTGGTATCACCAATGCTACAACATATACGAATTTCTGCGAGTCTCAGATGAGTTCTTTAAAGATTCGAACATAATTTTCTCCAACATCTGAATGAGCTGCATTGATTGCTGGTATCTAGAGGGTTAGCAGAAAGTTTTTTAGTGATGATGTTAGTATTAGTAATACCAATACATTTATGAATTTCTGCCGATTTTGCAGGACTTGCATTCAAGTCTTAACATAATTTCTCTCAACAACTCAATCAATTGTGTCGACTGTTGACAGTTAAAACTTAGCAGGAATTTTTCTAGTTATGATATTATTATTTCTAATGCTAGAATGTTGATGAATTGTTGCGAGTCTCAGACGAAGTTTTTAAAGGTGCGAACGTCGTTTTCCTCAGCATTTTAACTAGCTGCATCGAGTGACGGCATTTTGAAATTCGCAGAAAGTTTGTCTGTGATGATGTTGATATTAGTAATACCAGAATGTAAATGAATTTGTTCGGATTTTAGAGGGAACGTTTTCAGGTGTGAACATTATTTTTCTGAACAATTGAACCAACTTCATCGCTTCATGCGATTTAAAGGTTAGCACAAACTGTTTTAGTGATGATATTGGTATTAGTAATATATTGACATGTATCAGCCTTTGTTGGTCCCAGATAGAGCCTGGAAAGGTGCGAACATCATTTCCTCGAGCAAGGAAAGCAGCGGCGCTAATTGATGCCTTTATGTAGTTAGTAAAATTGACTTTTAGTGGTGTTGTTAGTAGTATTAAGTATAGACGCATCGGTTTTGTAATGGCTGTTAGGGAGAATATATTGGTATTCTGTGGACGACTTTCGGTATTTTGTGCTCCCCATGTTCAGCGTTACGATCATCGTAAACGGTCATATCCACTATAAGTTACGACCGCAAACGATCGTATTTCGTCGTTTTCCTTGCTGCCTGAATTACGACCGTAAAAGAAGCTGTTTCTCGCATTACTGACNNNTGGGACCCGCGAAACACTCGTCTGTCGTGGTTTTCCTTCGGCGCCGAATTACGCCCGGAAAAGAAACTTTTTCTCCCATTACCGTCCCCCGCCCCCCCCCCCCCCCCCCCCATCATTCACATGATGAAAGCTACTAATGATTCGAACTATTTCCTTCGAAAATCTGCCAGAAAATTCAAACGAAGTATTGAGGAGAAATTTTGTGAGATGTATTGCTATTAAATAGTTGCGCAATATAAGAAAATAAGTTCGACGAGGAAATTTTTCATCCATGGGTTTATTTCAATCGAACGTCTTCATCGATGTTGGTGTTCAGTAGAAATAAATCCATGGAAAAAATTTTCCTCTTCGAACTTATTTTCTCATGCCATGCAACTCAACTATTCAATAGCAATGGATCTCACAAAATTTCTTCTCAACACTTCTTTTGAATTTTCTGGTAAACTTTTCGAAGGAAATACTACTAAATAGAGAACAAATTGTAAAAAATATTAAAAATAAATTAATTTAACTCACATAACTTGTAGTCTCGTCGGATATTCCTAAACAAAAAAAAAGATTCTAATTTATGTAAACTTACATTAACTGATGTTCAAATTCAATATACCTAAATATAAAACAGAAAGATAAATTTATATTATTTTAGCTTACTTAAGTAACAATCCGGAAGGAATATACCTAAATAAAGCAAAAGATAATTCAATATTATATTAACTTACTTAAGGGGCCCCCCCCCCCCCCTCAGAAAAGCCATTTTTTCGCAAAGTAATCGAAGTCGAGTTTTTATCATAGGAAGATGCAGTGAAGTTTCCTCTTTCAGAATATATATAAATTTTTAAAAAAAGGTCAAATTTTTACTGACTTTCGTAGGAGATTTCCACCTCACTACCCGGTTTTCGGAGAGATTTTCGCGGTTTTTGTTATTTGTGGGAAGACTACTTTTTTACTTCTATCAGCATGGAATCAACATTCTTATATCATATAGTACGACCGGTAGTGCTAGCTTACGCCATCTATTGCGTTCTTTCAAGAATTCCACATAAATATTATCATTATACCATTATTTGCTGCGCTTGAATGAAAAATCCACTTCTAAAACTTCTTTTGCGTTTTTCTCAGAACATGGTTTCCGATCAGAAAAATTGGAACTCCTCCCTCATTTCTCGAGCTATACCCAATATTTTTTTTTTGTTTTAAAGGTCTCCGTAAGAGGAAACTTTTCATCGACCATTTTTTTTAAAATCGATTCCTGGGCTGAAAAAAGTGGAATTTACTGTCGTCAGATCACTGTTTTTTAAGACATGTCTACTAAAATATTCATAAAAAATGAACAATATGGAATTTAAAAATTCTGGTCGATGAAAAGTTGCGTACTGACGTGGGCTTTAATTTGAAACTAGCCCGAGCTCTATACCTCGTACTGGGACGGAGTTTTGTCAATTCTCCTGAAGGCCAAAAATGACCTATAAATCAGCTGGAAATTCGGTCTAATACGACCTATAGAGCTGAAATTTTTACCAGAAGCATATCTCACTAAGATCACTCATCCCTGAAAATTTCAGCTCAAGCGGACCATTCTAAGTGGGAAATTTTTTCTGAGGGGAGGGTCCACTTAATAACTCTTTTTAAATTGTAAATGAAAATATTTATTGTAGTTTAACTTAAATGACATAAAACAGAAAAACATAAACTGTCATTAAAGTGATTATAAGTTATGTTTCATTGGAATTCAAAAATCACTTTTTATGATATTAATGCAATGCCATTACGATATAATGTAATCCCATGTCGGTTGGAAATCAGCTGGCACACTTTCAATAGCAGGATACAATTTTTCGTCATAAGATTCAAAATCTTGCATTCCACGTGATTCGTAACGTTTAACTATAGCAGTTCGAACAGCCATCCAAGCACGTCTTTGTTCTAATGGTATTTCAGAATCTTTATGCATGTCAACTGTTTTTGATTTAAAATCTAAATTATCGAACCATGCTGGATTACGTTTTAAAAAATAATCTCTGGTGCTGCTAAATTTTTCCTTGTCCGAAATAGCACCATGTGTTAACCATACTTCGTAACATAAATATAAAGATGGTTCCTTTGTAGCATCAAGTTTCCAACCATTAAATGCCTTAACTAAATGATGCGAGCTTTGATGTTTTATATGACTAATTTCAGTACTATCACATTTTGCTCCACAACCTGGACATCTTGCTTGACAACCAAGACGTTTTTTTATTAAATCTATACATGATTTTGTCGCTTCACGTTCAAATATATTTTTGCATGTAACAATTCCTTCATACATTTTTGTGCGATCTAATAATAATTGTTTAAAGTTTTCTTTAAATCGATCTGAATCTTTAATTTCAGCTGATATACCAATCATTTGTGATGATTTAAAATCTGGTATAATTTTTTTAATATTTGTAACAATATCTTGATAAACTTGTTGAACATTCTCGCAGGTATGTTCTTCAACAGTTTTAACAGCTACATTAACACAATCAAAAATAATCCTCTCTAATACATGTATTTGATTTGTAACAATTGTTTCTTTACTTATTTCGATTTTATTTAATGCTATTTCTAGATAATAGCGATTTATATCAATGACATATTTCAATATGTTATTAGCATCTGGTGGATTTGAACCAATACTATCATTGTAAGCATTAGTTGCAATTTTATCAGGTTCAATTTCACTATTATCAGTTATTTTGGTATGTATATCATAAATAATAATTCTTCTATAAATTCTTATTATTTCGCTAAGAATTTGTTTCCGTAAATCAATTTTAAATTGTTGACCCTGTTCAAATGAATCTTTACTTGATAAAAATTGTTCTTTTATATTTGTTCTCCATTCATCTAATTCATATAATGATCTTTTTAATTCTTCATGCTTATGCTGTTCGATTAATTTTGCTTGTTCAATTAAAAAACTTAACGTTATACATATAAGACCTTTTGCGATTTGTGGTATATTTAAATATCTCCAATGTCGTTCTATTGGTGATGTTGCAGATATCATTGAATTGTTAACATATTCCATTAAGATCGTTATTAATTCTGGATCATTATACGATAATTTAATTGTTGATATCATTGCATTAACATTCTGCTGTAATTGCGGTATAATATCTTCTGCTATACTTGAAAGAATCTCTTCATTGCTTTCATCACTAAGATTATCATTACATACAAACCATGCTACACGAAGCGTTTTCCACGTACCAGTTGTAAAAAAATTTTTCCATTTCTTATTTTTATTCGATTTTTGTTGTACAGTTAAATAAGATTGTATAGTTCTAAATATCACACTGAATTCTTGATATTGTTCACGATAAAGAGTAAGATCAAGTATTGGGAAAAGGCTATGAACATCATGTTGATTTTCTGTTGTTCCTCTTGTTTTAACTATACGATTATAAATTGCTAATACTGTTTGTATTATATCATCTTGCGATTTTGCTAATAAATTTAAATTATTTTCAAATTCTTTATATAGTTCATTATATTTTTCATCTAAAACAGTATTTAATTCATTTATATCAGTTTCTTTTTGTGTTTGTTTATTAAAAAATATGTTTGCACTATTTAATAATTGTTTTTGTACTTGCAATGCTGCATTATCTTTTGCAATTGTATAAACATCTTGATCAAAACGTTGTTCTAATAATTGTTGTGTACAACGTATTGATGGCTCAATATATTTTTGTATATTAGATTTTAAATCAAAATAATTAGCTTGTTGTGTAGATTGTTCATATTCATGAATTGCATCTTTAATCAATTTAAATGTCAAATCATCTAATTGTTGAAAGCCATCTTTTAGAAACTGTTTCATATATATATCACAACTTAATTGAATAGTATTTATACTATCATTTAAAAATTTCTCTATTCTTTGTTTTTGTTTTATTAATAAATTATTTAATAATTTTGTACCATTCGTCATTAAGAATTTTGATTGTTTTTGTATTATTTCTTTTGCTATTGATTTTAACTCATTTTTTACATTTAATTCAGCTAATGTTTTACATTCTAATAAACCTTGACCTAATTCATCTATTGTTTTCCAAGTACTAGATATTTTATTATATACTGCATCAATACTTTTAAAAGCAATTTTTTCTCTACTATGTTGTTGGTGAAAAAATTGCTTTTAAAAGTATTGATGCAGTATATAATAAAATATCATCAAGTTTTTTAAATTTGNCATGATTTGATAGATCTTCATCTCCTCTTTCGAATGGTGAAAACCACAGTTCTCTATCTTGTTTTTATCAAAAGTTATTTGAAAAATACTCATTCGTATTTTTTAAAATGAGTATTATTATAACCAGCACATAAGATCACAACACAGATCTTATCGAAATTTTTTTATTATGATATTAGTTGAAGTATGATCAAATAGCATAGAAAAATAGAGCATTCTTTCCTCTATCGGACTATGCAGAGAGAAAGTTTCTTTAAGCTTATTATAAGGCATTGAAGTGCTACTGCCACTACTTTTGGATTGCCCTAAGTAATATGTTCGTGGCACATGTTGATACTAGATTTCACATAGCTAAGAAGTTATAAAAGACCGTTTTGGTATACCCTTGAAGTACAGAATCGTCTCTTTTCTCCTTTGGAGAAACATCTTCGTCTATTTGACAGACTATGACGGGATTGAAAACCCACTAGGCTACTGCAGACATATCGAATCAGTAGGTTCAACGAATGTCGGTATGTTTGTTGCGATCTTTAGAACAAGCTGCAGCATATGAGATTGATTTTTCGCCGCACAATTCAACACTGATTGAGAAGCATGTTTTACAAAAGCACTATAACAGCGAAATAGAAGTCTTACGTAACTTTTGTAGTGATTCAAAGATAGATATGACTAATCGAAGTGTTGATTTGACTGTTACAAAATGAGAAATTGTGAAAAATGACTCATACTGATCTGTCGACTGGTAGGGTCGAGCTGATCGGCTTAGAAAGGTATCGGCAAGAAAAAACCCAATTGGTGACAACACTGGGATATTCTAGTCACATTGTTTAAAAAAGTGTTTAGGAGAAACAACTATTAATTAGACGAGAAAATTAATAAAAGTAAAGCAACAATTTTACTAAGAAAAATATTTCTTGTATAATGAATTGTTATTGAAACGAAGCATTATTATAAACCGAACATGGCGAAAACAAAAACGATGAAATGAATTTGAAATATTAAGATAAGTTTTGGATTCCGAAAAACGAATTAATTTAAAAGTAGCTTTTTTTACCATTACAAAATTGCAAAGATCTCAGTCGTACTACCTACACAATTGTTTATGAAATTTAATATTGGTGAAAAAGCTCATGTCTAGATAGCCAGAATAAACGAACAAAAAAAAAAATTTTAAAGTCCGTTACATAACTCTAAAATATATCAACATGTCTATCAGAATCCTGATGCAATCACTTCAAATAATGTTGCAAGGCTTATTTTTGAACGCAATAGAAGAAGAAGAAGAATTTAAGAATCAATGTTTACACAAGGAACGTTTGGATAAGTAATCAACGATACAAAACATACCATCAAAGTATTTTAACGAAACAAATTAATAGAAGCAAGCAATCCATGTACCGTTCCTTGTACATGTCTTTGCCAACAGTTACAGGTTCTACCAATCCATTTTAAGAGAAGCGCTTATGTTACAGTAAATTTTAAAAATGCAATGAGAAGCAAGATTACCGAAAAACATATCAAACATTGAATTATTTCCTTGGCAGTTATCGATGTTTAAGGTTGAAAGCTCTCAATTTTATTTTCTTTCTTTGTTACTTTTAGAGTATCGAGTGCAAGAATAGATGAATTTGACATCAGTGCTTTACTTTATTTTCTCAAAACTTGTTGGATTATATTGAAAACCACCATTACGACATGCTTTGATGTCTTTTGTTTAATCCAACTGTTTGTAATGAACAGTAATTAAATATTGGAACTCAACGGATCATAATTGATAGTTAATTTTTCTCTCATCGATTGCATCAATTTTTTATGTACATAGAAAAAAATCATTTTCTTACATAATTTAATATTGTTATTTTTAATATGGCAATTCTTTTACTTCTCTTTTGTTCTATTAGTCTATAGTATTCATCTAATAGTAATCTGATGAACTTGACTACGTTATTCTTTTTAAAAAGTCGACTTCCTTTCGTAACAAAATGTCAGTCTTCCTTTTTTTGCTAAGAAAGACATTGAAAAGTTGACTCATTTTTCTTTTTTTTCTCTTATGCTTTCAAATACATGACTTGCCATAGTGTAACGACGACAACGACAATTCTTCCTTGTAATTTCTTTTTATGTTCTTTTTTCTTCTTTCTAATTTTTTCGAAGATTTGCTTAAAGGAGAACATTCGTAGTCGATAGCAGGTAGACAACAGCTAAAGAAATAAGAAAGACAGAAGAAATGTTCAAGGACAGAATACAAAGAACAGGTAGTAAGACAAAGAGGAAAATACTTCAATGAAGATTTTCGTCTTCATGTATCGACATTTCTTCTTCATTATTTAATTAAATAACTGTATATTTATTTTTGATGCTTCACTCTTTTAACACGTTATCATCATATTCTCAATGTGTATGATTCCTTCTTTTTTTTAAGTTTGTCTTTCTCCAAAAAAATCAATATTTCGTTGGTGCATTTCATATGCAGGTTTCAATAAAGCAATTCTTATAGATTATTTTTTTGTCTTTCTTTCTACCTTTCGTTTCTTTTGTTTATTTTTGCCTATGAGAAAGATTGAAAACAAACATTTACAAAAAATCTAAATATAAAGCAAACAATGTTGAATTTTTTTCCCATTGTGATTCATATTCCCTCTCGATTTTCAAGAGTATTTACTTTTTTTTCTGTCAATGTCTCTGTTTGAACATGATTGTTTTCCTAGAACTGAAGGTTATATGTATATTCAGCGAAAAGTATGGTTTATATGATTGCACATTTGAAAGTGTTACGTCCAATAGCAAGGACATACAATCACCGTACACTTGTTGTAAGTTCGGTTAGAGTTAGATGATGCAATTTCATTAAATATGTACTGTTTTCTTTTTATGTATTTGCAAACAGAACTGTTACATTTCATTTGTTTTTTACATGTATTATCCTAGGTTTGTGTTTTTTGTACAAATACATTCTTTCATCTATTCGATTCTTTTGCACTGTGTCTCTCTCTTTCTCTCGTTTGCTTGACCATGTCTGAAAGTATGAGATGTTATTTATACAAATAGTGCGATGATTAGTCATATCACAACAATGCATCGATTATGCGAGAATTGTTTAATTTCTTCATTTGTTTTGTTTTTATATTTGAAAAGTCAGTGCTTTAGAAAGAAATATCTTTACAAGTAATTGCATAACGCTGCCATAGGTATACACTATAATCTTTCTTATGTCGTCTCTAATAGTTAAAAACTTTTATTACATTTTTGTTGCACCGATTTTTAACAAGTCGACAAGAAGCAGCAATAGCAGCAAAATAGAATAAATAATAAAGAGAAAGGAAGAAGAACGATGCAATGTGAGTGGATGCTTGTGTTCGTTTTTGAGTAGCAGTTGTGAAACTGCTTCACATTAGCGACCACCATCATCGTCAACTTGCATCGACAGTTTCATGCGAGAATTGAAGAATGAGAGAATAAATCGGTCTTTGTTGCCTTCAGTGAAAAAGAGAGAACAAGAAGAAGAAAAAAAATCAATTTATGTTTTGACTTAATTAGTCACATTATTAACTATAAATCCATTTACATCGAAAACAAAGCAATTCTTTTCTGGTTCTTTTTCTTGTTTTTTCTCTCTTATCATCAACTTTCAATTAAAAATAATTAGTTTAACGAAAATAATTTTCATGAAAATGCGCACAACAATAACATACAATGGTCACATTTATTATAATATTTTATTTTTATTTTATTTTATTTTATTATAGATTTGTAATCATTACTATAAATTTCAAATAACAACCGTGTTTATCATTGAATTTCAATGGCAATTCCATCTAAAGCTTCAATAGCTGCTGCAAGTGGTATTGGTTCATTTGCTTTATTACTTCTAATTATTAGTGTAGCTACACCTGTGTGGCTTGATGGTGGATCAGGAAATACAATTGGCCTTTTCCGTAAATGTTACGGAGATAGTGCCATTACAGGTATAACTCCAGAGAATGGCGCAGGTTGCTATAATGATAATCGAGCTCCTCAAGCCGGTCTATCTATTTTTGGTCTTTTATTACTTGTCTTTTCTATAATTGCGGCCATAGCTGGCATATTTTTGCAGCCACCAATAGGTTCTTATGCATTGTATGCAGCATTAGGCCTCTTATACTTTTCATCTATCTTCATTATGTCAGCGTATGCAACATGGGGCGTTTATTCACGTGATGAAGAATCATATTTGTTTCCTTATACAGCAAGAAATATAACTCATACAACCGTGGGATATTCATATAATTTATGTGTTGCTGCCCATTACTTTCTCTGGACAGCTCTTACTCTACTTGCATATGGTGTTGGTTTCAAATTTGGACAAGAACGAAATGCAACTCAATGAATGTTCTCGTTAGTCTTCTCTTGACTAAATACAGACGTACAAAAAACAAATATCATTAGATAATCAAACTTATTCTTTGGTTCATTTTCATTCAACTGTTTTTTTTCCTATTAGTTCTCAAAAAAATAGAAATAGACAAGTGTTGATCTATCTGGATTGACTATTGTCATTTTTTTTACCGTGTGTATGTTTTGTATCCATAGCACATCATTTTTCTAAGCGCCTCTGTAAACAAGCGACAATTTGTGATATATATATATGAATGAGATTTAACTTAACTTTTAGTCGAGATGTTTTATCATTCTTTGGTCTTGTTCTTCTAATACATGTAACTACTTTTTTTTATGATTGAGTGAAATATTTGTTGCTTGTGTGTATGAACAAAAGAAAATACATTGACATATAGGGAAAGAAATTTTTATTGATATTTATAAAGTTATTAACGAAAGTTTTTCAAAAAATAAAACAAAGAAGGATTAAGCTTAGTATTGTATTTATTTAAAACACAACTGGAATATCTAATTATTTATGAATAAGATTTTTCTAGACTTGAACAAGAAATTGGTTTTGACATATTCATTAGTAAAATGTCATGCAACAAACATTCGTTTTTTTTTTCAGTAATGATATTTACCATGTGTCAATGACAAACGTCTTTTTATTAAGACAAGAGTGAGTTTGACTGAAAAAACTCGGCTTGAATTTATTAAATAAAATGTTAATAAATTTTAAAAAAATTAAAGAAAAAAGTCAACAATTTTATATAATTACATACATTGATGTGTTTTGAATAAAGAATGTTTTGTAAAAGAATTGCGAAATTATTCAAATGCTTAAAAAAACCACGTTTTTTTACCATCAGAAATGAGAATATTCTAGAAGAGTTTCAATTCCATCTGTATGTATGTAACTAGTTATATCAACTTTCAAAAATCAAATAATCCAGCTAAAAGGTTTGTAAAATAATACGAGTGTGAAAAATAATCGATCGAGTACCTACTGGTCCTTTATAAACTTAAAGAAAAAGCATTTTATGATGATTTAAATCATTGTACATCGATTGGACTCCTATTGTTGAAAAAATTGTTATATACTCATAAACATTGATGTGCAATATTTTATATACTTCACCTTTATTCTTTCTCTAAAAAGGAATAGGCAAGAAACTATCGATCTATGATAATTATTGTCATTGCATTGTTATTAAAACTGACTTCACTTATAATGGGGTACCAATACAAAGTACACTACGAATATAAAATAAGATATCGATGAGAATTAACGTTGAGAACGCGTTTCAGTTGGAAGTAAAAATGGTTCAATCTTGTTATCAAGTACAGAATATTTGAAAAATATTACATGCTTTTTATCCGATCTCTAAATGTTAACAAGAAGATATTCTTTTCTCGTGATCTTTGAAAATAAAACAATTTTTTATCGAACTTTCAAAAATATCAGAAAAATCTTTCGCCTGTTCTTCATAGAAACGATAAGAAACAGAAATTTTCAAAAAACTAACTTTTGCTTAGGTGTTACGTCAGAACATCATCAATAAGGACACCAATTCTACTAATGATGTAGTGAGATGATTATCATAGATCGATCATTTTTTTTACTTACTTATTTTTCTAGAAACACAGTTAATGTACTGTCTAAAACAAGAAATGTGATGCAGATAAGGAGGATTATTGTGCAATTTCAGTCGTTTTTGAGAAAATGTTGTTGTTGGTTTTTTTTTTGGCTAATCGATTTGATTTGCAAGTGTACTTTTCTCATACACTGACTGAATCTATAACTGTTCAAACCAAGATAAGAACTAATGTAGAACTGTCATAAATCTAACATCGACTAATTTATATTGTTTATATCTTCCCATCAAGATTACTTGTGACAGCTGCAAACTACGTTTCCCCTAATTTTTTTTTCTTCGACACATTCCTGTTTGATACACTACACCACTTTAAGGATTATGAATGTCTAAAAATATTTTCAATTACGCTTTAAATATCAGTGCAATCAGTTTATCACTACCAATAATTTTGTTTCATCATTATTAGTGGCACGTACTCTCACTGCATATATATACATACGCACTTTCAGAGTATTTTGATAGACACGTTTTAAAAGTGCAAAATCATGACTAACACATATGCCTTATCTGGTGTGTTTCTTCTCGCTATTATTCTTCATTTTATTACTAATCAAGCAAATGGTGTATCACCAGCTCCCGGTAAAAAAGTAACAACATCATTTGGTAAAAAAGGTAGCTGGGCAGCTGGCTATCATACAGGAGATGATTATGCATGTCCTGTTGGAACGAAAGTAGTTGCAACTAGAGCTGGAGTTGTTAAAGCTGGAAGTTGGGGATCATCTTATGGAACTCATATTATAATTGAATCTAAAGGTCCTAGTGGTAAGATAATTCGGCATTTATATGCACATTTAAGTCAAAAACTAGTAAAAACTGGTGCCAAAGTTAAAGCTGGACAACAAATAGGCAAAAGTGGAAACACAGGAAGATCTACAGGACCTCATCTTCATTATGAAGAACGTGTATCACCATATGGTTATTCTAATCATCGAAAACCACAATTTAACTAATAAACATGGCATCAAAAAAAACAAGACAGTTCTTTTGTCAACACTGTTTTTCTCCTAATACCAGATTCATATTTCAATAAATTTTATGAACTGAAAGTTTACTCTTTTGAAAATTTTTAATTAAATTCAGTTCGTTTTACTATAGTTTCAAAGGAAATGTGCCATTCATATTTTGTACAATACAATGAATAATGAAGAGAATCAAAACATCTGTCTTATTTGCCTATAAATGCATCTAAAGTATTTTGCAATGTTTAAACGAATCATAGAAAAAATTTATATTTAAAGACGATAAGAATGAAAAAAAAAAATGCTTTAATTTAGATTTGTCGAATTTAATCGATTTTGTAAAAATGATGATAAATATATGAATCAATTTCGTAGTATTTTGTTACCATATAAGCCACTCATCAACAATCTATTTTATAAAAAACGATGATATCATTAAAAAAGACAAGTATGCGAAATGAATCAAAGATAAGCTATAAGTATGAAATAACTTTTACGGAATATATATATAACCAAGAAACAACTTAAACATAGACAAATGTTCAAATGTAGAAAGAAAAATAAAAGTAATAAACTTTTACTTAATTTCAGCTTAACTACTAACTACAGCATTGATTAAAAATATCCTATTCAGTCATTTGTATTACTTAATACATTAGAGCATTACTGATATTAGTCATTAAACTTAAATATCTTCTGAAGTTTAACATTTAGAAATATAATCATATCGTCTAGCATGAAAAACTGAATCGAACGTCATTGCTGTAAATCCACAACAAACCACCTTCAAGTATCAGTCATCATCACCTAATTCAAATTAAAGTGCACTTTTTTCTGCTTTCCGATGTCATTTCTATTAAATTTGTTTCCATTTTTCATACAATTGGAAGTTGCTGTCAGAGTTTAATGATTTCAGTATTATTTGAGATATGATAAAGATAACTATTCTAATTGAATTTTTTCTCTGTTGATTGATATTCATTTAAATGATATGAAAAAGAATTGAATTATTTTTTGATCCTACCAGGAAAGTTTCTCAGCTGACCAGTCGCTTTTGAATTGGAAGTATATACATTATGTAAACTCTAATGAACTTTGAATATTCTAATGAAAATTCGTGCCCTTAACTTATTGCTGCAGAGATATTGCTTTTTTACCGTAGCTTTTAAATGAAAGCCTTTGTGCCCCTCAGATATTACTAGGAGAATTGATATTTGAATTTCGACTGGGAACTTTTTTGCAGAAGCAGACCTTAAAGGAAATTTTAGAGATAGGAGGGACTAAAACTGCAGCAAAAAGGCGAAATATTCACCTTGCAAGGAGATTATCTGCTTATTTTTATTTCACTTTCTATCAGAGAAAGGTAAATGATGTTTCAAAATCCGGTTTCTATCTGAAGCTACCACGAAACTGTAAAAAAATGACAGAAATGATTAAAAACTTTCACAGATAGTTGGACATTTTGGAGAAGGATGGGAAATCTTTTCCCTAATCGAGAACCTTGATATTGGCAGCTATAAACTAAAGATCTGAACTCATTTCAGAGTATCTATAGCTCATTTGAGTCTACATAATACGCATAGCCTTGACTCAGAGACGATTCATCAGTCGGGAAACTTTCCTCATTTGCTAGCAGAATAGATCTACTTTTTTTTTCTTATAAAGGATTGGCCAAATCATACATTAATAGTAATACATCTATATAAGATTCGAATATTTGACCGAATTAATTTTCTGTTAGAAGGTATAAATGTAAATTTAAATTGGCCATTAGAAAATAAAATTCATACTAAGCATCTAAATTTAACATATAGATTAAATGTCTTTTTTTCTAGACAGAAAATTTTTAGCTGAATCTTGTTCGAACAAAGTTAGATTTAGTTCAATAAAAAATGGAAACATTATTTGTTTTCATTCATTTAAATTTTGTTGTTTTTTTATTTTATAAGTTAAATAAGTATAGATTATTACTAAGAAGTCCATCTGACATGGTTAATGTAATGTTTTGTCAAACGCTTCAGTAATGTACCACAAAAATTAGGCGTAAATATTGTCATTTTTCCCTATCAACATTTCTTTCCGTCTATGATTGCATCTTTGTATCAACAAGCATAACAACATAGACAAAGTATGGATATGTCTATCGGCATATGCATATATGGTGACAGGAGTCTGATACTGATACGTAAGATAAGCACAAGTTAATTTTCCTTTCTTTTTTTTTATATCTTTTTTCTTCTCGTCTTTCTCCTAAAATTTTCTTATCTCATTTATTTCTTTTGTAACTTTTCCTTCTTGTTTTATTTCTTCATCAAATTCTCATTTATCTTGATTTATAAAGCTTCTTCGGTTTATATCCTATCATCGATCGTAAGTATCATTAGTATCTAGTAAAAACGTAAAATCGAATCATGTGCTAATTGAATTTTAGTCTCGTATATGATAATGTCATATATACTACGCATATATATATATATACAGTATTATGTATTGTTCAGAAACAGCTATTGAAAATTATTTGCAAGACTAAGAAAGTTTCTTTTTTGTTTTTATATGCTATCAATCTTACGTTTGAGTTAATTGATTCGTGGAACTCGTACATCTTCATCAACTTGGCAAATGTCAACACATTCTTGAGTTCAGATATGAAAGAATCGAGTAAAAGCCAGCCCATCATTCTTTATCACTTCTTCTTTATAATGATATATATATATATATCAAAATATTTTTGTAACGTTCAACTGATTTCAGCCTGGAAGTTCTTTTTTTAAGCCTATGTAATAATTTCGAAGAATCAAGTATAATTAGATTTTGATATGATTCTTTTATTTGATTGGTAGAAAACATGAGAGGAGAAAGAGAGAAAGAAAAACACCAAACAGACTTGATGTTGATACTCGTTTTTACACGTAAGAGAACGAATGATAACGATTGTCAAGTCATCGTATATGTATGAGAATGTGTGTATTTCCACAAGCAAGTCATACAGGAGATAAACAATTCATCGGACGACGACGTTGATAAGTCGTCATTGTTGATGATAGTAGAAAAAGCAAGCAAATAAAAGAAAATCGACTGGTTCATATCGCGTACCAATCGTTTTTTTCTTATATACATATTTTTGCCTACGAACGAACCCAACAAATGATATCACCTTATCCTTTCTCTCTCTCTCTTTTTTTCCTTGCTTTTACTCAACAATAATTTTCTTCTATGGATAACAATCTGCTAACATCACGTGCTAGTAGTTTCAGTATTGCTTCATTGATTACATCAGATTGTTGCGATGATGAGAATAGTTTATATCATTCTCTAACGAATTCAATTCCAACAAATTTTTATCATAATAATAATTGTTCAATCGATCTAATTACAAACGATAATTATTCAAATTCTATTCAACAAGATTTTCATCACTTTCATTCAGCTACATTAACAGAAACAAATAACGGACAATATCAACAGCAAATAGGAAGAAGAAAAACTCGATCAACAAATTATAAACAAATAAAAAATCATCAAAAAAATTTATCAACAACACAAAAGATGGAAGGTTAGTTATACTTAATAAAAAACAGAAAAAAGTCTGAACAAAATATTCAACATAACTTTTCTATTTCTTAGATTATATTCAACGAGCAACAGAAAATATTAAATCAACAGCAAATATCAATAAATCTAATAATGAAAATATTTCAAATGGAACTAATGAAATAAAAAAAACACTTCATCCAAAATTAGCTAATATTAAAATGGTTCTGGAATCGAAATCATTATGGGATGAATTTGATAAACTTGGAACTGAAATGATTGTTACTCGATCAGGAAGGTACAAAAAAAAGAAACACATCAATATCTTTCTGTTTTATAGGCATTCCTTCATAATTTCACTCAAGAAATCTTGTCTTAGAGAGAAAGTGACATAAACTAGATCATTATGATATTATCCGATATTTTTAAAGTAAACGTTACCACTTGTAGGAAAGGTCAGAAAACGTTTTTTAATGGTGTCGATGCAAGTATTGGGTTTCTTTATTTCCAAACACACCCGGATTGGTAAGTTGACACCATCGAGTTGATGCAAATATTGCCGTCTACAACAGAGCTCGTCAGGTCCGGACCCAAAAATATTTGACCCGGCAGACTCTAATCTCCAATCCAAACGTATTTCTATTCAGCACAGCTATAATGAAAACAACTTGACAACATTTTGACTAAGCCTTCACGAAATAAAAAAAAATTCTTTTGGAATCAAAAACTTTTTGATTTAATAAAAAGATATGAAAAGATTATGTGTCATTAGGTTAATATTCTATTGTCACTATCTTATAAACTATTGAATTATGTTCACATTTGTATTATTATCATAACTTTCTCTAATACAAAGTTGTATTAATTTTTGTTTTTTCATAAAACATTGCTGAATAAAGTGTCAATAAAACATGGATCAAACCAAACGTCTTATTAAAACAATTGATGGTTTGTTCATAAAATGTAATTAACTTTACGTTGTGATAATCATTAGTATGGTTGAAATATTCAAAAAAAAAAAACAATAGATAAGATTGATACTAACGATTCAATCGAATTTAAATCTCTTGAGTAACATCCAAAACATATGTCTATTGAATATAGATTATCAATCAATTTAAGTTTTTCTTTTTCTTTTTTAAAGACGAATGTTTCCAATATTACAAGTAAAAATCTCTGGTATGGATCCAACAGCTACTTATTTGCTAATGGTTGATTTCATACCATTAGATGATAAACGTTATCGATATGCATTTTATAGGTAAAATTGTTCTTCTTTTTGTCTAGAGAAAAAAAAGAAGCAAGATTTTTATTTAGTTCAAGTTGGGTTGTTGCTGGTAAAGCTGATCCACATGGTCCAGGCCGTTTTCATGTTCATCCTGATTCACCACAAACAGGTTCAAATTGGATGAAAAATATTGTTTCATTTGATAAACTTAAATTAACAAATAATTTACTTG